CTCATTTGCCATCCCTCACACCAAGGGATGTAAGCTCGTCCCCACTCCCCCTCCTCTTTTATTCCCTTCTGCCTGGATGCATTTCCTTTATTCCTTTTCTGACAGTGAAAACTCTACTCATCCTTCAAGTTTCTGTTCAAATGGCACTTCCTCTGTGAAGAACCCTAGCAAAGTGCCTAACACGTAGACGGCTCAGTAACTTTTTTCAGTGAACAAGTGACTTAAAAAAGTAAACAGCTTCATGATGTCATCTGGCAGTATAGCTTAATGGTTAAGCATGGTGTTTGGGAACCAAACGACCTGGGTTCAAGTCCTAGCTCCATTATTAGCTGTGTGACCTTAGACAAATTACTCTACCTCTCTGAGTCAGTTTCCTCCTCTGTAAATAATGACAGTAGAGCACTGGGCGGATTAAATTAGATACTCGCACAAAGCACTTAGCCCAGTTCCTGGCACATAGCAAGTACTCAGTAAGGGAAAGTAGCTGTTAGGATTGGTAGCTGTGTTTACTTCCTGTAAAACCACCTTAAAGAGAGGGACCATGTCTGCATCTTTGAGCCTCCAGACTTAGTAGAGAAATTGGTACGTGATAGGTGTTCAATCAATCTTTATTGAATTGAACATGATACACATCATAAGGGGGTGGTGGGTACCAACAGAGAACTAGGGGAAGCTGGAGGGTAGAAAGTTAATTTCTGGTGTGGGAATCAAAAGAAAAGGAAAGTGCTTTTGGGGAAGGAGGGGAAATTTGAGCTGGCTACTGAAATATGAGTATGATTTTGCCAGGAAGACATGAAAGATGGCACTGGGGGTGGGGGAGCGTTGGGGGGCAGCCAGGGACGGCAGCTGCCTGTAAAAGAAGCTTCTTTAGCCGAGGTATAGGGGTGGAAGATCACAGACTCAAACTAGAGGGCATGTGCAGGGTGCAGGTGAGCTCATGTGTAGTTGCAAAGGAGAATCACTGCAGCTTTAACCAGCTCAGCCCAAATGGGCTCCACCGGGGAAGCCTCAGAGTGTGCTGGCCCTAGGGAAGGCTCGGGGCTGCCACGCAGCCCCACATGCTCCCTATGATAGCCGTGTGAGGGTGATGGTCACACACCAGCTAAGAGAGAAAGGGTCCTTGCCCCTTGGCTGACAGCGTTCATCACTCAATCAACAAACAGTCACCGCGAGCCTGCTGTGTGCAGGGCGTCACGCTGGGCACTGGAACCAGACAAAGCAGGACTCATGGAGCCTGTGTTCTAGTATGGAGACACTCAACAGGCAAATAAGCCATTACATATATTTAATTACAAGGTCCAGCGGTGCCAAGGCTGTTAAGGATATAAAAGGTGGATATCGATGGGACAGGAGTAGCAGGGGTGGGGCTGCCGCCTTAGATAAGGTGGTCAAGGAAGCTGTCCCGGATGAGGTGACATTTGTGCAGAGGTAGGAATGAGATAAGAGAGCAAGCCACGTAGTGATCCGGGGGAGCAACATCTTAGGCGGAGGGGACAGTAATGCAGATGTCCGAAAATGGGAGCGAACTTGGTACATCAAGGGAGAAGCAAGCAGGTCTGCGTGGCTGGGACAGGTGGGCAAGGGTGAGCGTGGCAGGAGATGAGGCCAGCAAGGGGACAGGGGCAGATTCCACAGGCCACGCTAAGGGACATGGCTGATCTTTCCTGGTGTGATGGGAGGAGCCGCCTGCAGGGGGTGCGGTGAGCTACTTGCACCGGCTGCCCTGTGAGGAACCAGGGCAAGTGGGGAGGCCATTTGCAGCTTATGGACGGAGCCCAGACAGGGACAGTGGTGGCTTAGCCTAGGATGACAGCAAACACTGGTGAGAAGCAACTGAATATGCAGTGACTGGCCGCAGATAGAGGCAGCAGGGCTAGCTGACCTGTCAAAATAGGATGTCAAGTCCAGGTGCGCCCCTAGAGCTACCGGCCTATGTGGTTGATTTCTTTCTCTGGGTGAGTCAGGCACACGTGTGGCTGGTGAGGGGCAGCAGCTGATGGCCGGTGCCCTCCCCCAAGGGAATGGACAATAAGTGGCCTCAGGCAGGGTGGACCTAGCCGCCAATGGCCCACACGCCCAGGATGCAGCAGGAACAGGTGCATCAGAAGGGCACGTGGCCGAGCCTTGGCACACACGTGTCCTGAAACGCTGCCGGCTTCTGATCTGGGGTAGGTTTACTCAGCAGGGCGGGACAGAAGCCGGCTGCACCTCCACCGACAATCAGCCCACCGGCCCGGCCTGGCACAGTCCCGGCCCAGGAGGTAAGCTGCAGAGTGTCTGGGCGCACACAGCTCAGGCCCTGGGAGCCGAAGCTAAGGCTTTGATGGAGGGGCACTGCAACCACACTCACAGAACATCGGTGCGTGGGGACTGGGCTCTCTCTTTATAAAGAAAAAAAGAAAAGGCAAGCGAGTCAGGGGGTACTTAGTTCAGACGCAGACCTCTTGTATGACATCAGGCACTTGACACGGAAAATGTCTCCCTCCACCCCACACCAGGGCTGGCTGCAGACTGTGACGAGGCCAGGCCTGAAAGCTCCCCCGTGGCGCCCTGATGCCACCTTGTTGTTCCCACTAGACTCTTGTTCTTCAGGAGCCGAATAAAGAAGCCCCTGCTGGGAACAAGCCAGAGGCCTGGCCCCCTTCCATCGCGCAGACAAAATCAAGAACAAAGGTCGTGGACACTTTGACAGGACTGCCGCAGACACTCTTTTGATGTGTCTTTTTAAGAGAGGGACAGGAAGTGCTCGCCTTTTCTTAGCCATACAAACAGTTGGTTTTGAGGGTGGAGGAAGCTCCCCACACCTATTTCCAGTGACTTTGACTCTTAGAAAAGGTTTTCCTCTGTGTTATTAGACTGGGTTCTCACCCCAAAAGTAATGGTCTGAAGGAGGCTGGGAGAAAAAAATCCCTCTGTGCTGTTCCTGAGCCCTGTGAATAGGGGAAGGAACAACAAAAGAAAAGAAAAGACGTTCCACAGTTTAAGGGTATGTTCGGGAGCCCTAAGTACTCAACCGGTTCGTAAATGACTTCATTTGAAAACTTCCAGCTTGCAATTCTGTCATTCTTCAATGAGAAATATGTGATTTGCCAAACATGAAATGGAATCATTAAGTCCTGACAAAATCAATCGGAGGCAAAGCAAAACGGTGGCTGCGTGTGCCCCATGCTTCCTTCTCCTTAACAAATTAGATACCCCTGCGGAAGGCATTCCAGACGGATACTGGCATGGGGTTCTGCCTGGAAGAGGGAGGCACACCGATCATCAAAACGCATGCAGCTCGATGATTTCAGAGGCTTAACTGCCCACCCCACCCTACCCGCAATGTGCAGACACACACACAGAAAGGGAATTTGTCTTCTTCTAGATATTTCTGTATTTAAAGCACTGCACAAACATAAGCCAGACACAGAAGAGGGCTATTAAAATAAAATGTAGGATGAAATTGTCTAGAACTACGCACACACAAAAATGCACGTAAAAACCAGTGTAAGCTGAATAAGGTCTGCAGTCTAGTTAAGAACATTAGATCAATGTCAGTTTTCTGGTTTTGACATCGTACTGTAGTTATGGAAGATGTCACAATTAGGGGAAGCTGGGGGAAGGATACAGGGGACTCTCTCCCATTTTTACAACTTCTTACAAATCTCTAATTATTTCAAAATAACGAGGTTTTTGTTTTTTGTTTTTTGTTTTTAATGCCAAATGTGTTGGTTCCACAGCAAGTGGGCTCTGGCCCTTTCGGTTTTCATTATATGCAGGGGTGTTTGGGGGTAGCCCCAGGAAATACTCACTGCCAGTGTTCTCACTGTGTCCTGAAGTCACCTTGCTCCAAACCATTCCTCTTGGAGACTAAGAGGTGTCAGGCACGTCCCTGGGTTTGCTGTCACAGGCCTGTGGATTTCCTCCACCCACCAAGCCTGCCTGGGGGTCCAGCCACTGCAACTCAAAGTCCCACCAGCTCTATTCCTGCTCTAGAGGTTCTCAAGCTTTAAGGTGCATCGGAGTCATGGGAATGTATTTAAAATGTGGATTCTAGGGCCCTGCGCCCCACAGATCCTGGCTGAGCAGGAAATAGATGAGGACTGGAAATCTGCATTTGCAACGAGAGCCCTGGTGATTCTGTTGCAGGTGGTCTTAGGCTCCCACTTTAGGAAACACTGCCCAACTCCAGGTGGGTGCCTGGGAGCATGTCTGGATAGGCTTTCCGTTGCAGGATATGGAGAGGAGCTGGCAGGCGCTCAGCATCCATACAGCAAGGTGCCCGTGCAACAATGGAGAGAACTTCAGCCCCCTTCTTCTAAATGCACGCAGCCAGAGAGCTCCAACCCCAGTGCTTCAAAGAGGCTGAGAAAGGGCACGGGAGCCTCTTCTATTGACCCTTCAGTGGCTGCGACCCTGTGACGTTTAGGATAAAATACAGAGTTGGCATTCTATCATCACTATGGCTACTAATTTTTACTGAGTGCTGATTACTGTGCTGAGCACATTTCATTTAATTCTCACGATACTGCCCTGAGGGAATTGTTATTTATTACCCCCATTTTACAAATGAGAAAACCGAGACTCTGCAAGTTACACTGGCAGAAAGTGGCAGAGCCAGGAGTTGAACCCGGGTAGGCTTGGCTGAAAAGCCAGTGCTGCACAAAAACTGACACATGTGGGATTTTTGAGGGAGACGGGGAGGAAGACTCTCCTCATCCTCATTTCTGTGGCACTAAAGCTCCTTTCCAATGTAAAGCAGATCCAAGCCTCTCAAGGTACCCCTTCCATGGCTCTTTGTCTCTCTCTCAACTCCCTGTTCAATCCTGTTCTCTGCTACTCTGTCTCTTCTCAACACCTTTTCACTTTTCCTCTTTTGTCCCCAAAGTCCAAAATTACGGATTCCATTTGCTTTGTCCCCCACCACTAATACAAGAATTTTCCCCGGCCCTCCTCTTACGAGCCAAGCTGTCTGAAAAAAAATGAGAATTAGATTCCTAGCAAGGCAAACGACCTACCATTCTCGAGAGGACACTGGGGAATCTTGTTTGCTCGAAGGTTCCAAATATAACCCATGTTCCACTCAAGGCACACCTGATGATCTTTGAAAGGGCGTTCAAAAGGTGGGATGGTCTTCAGCAGGGTATAATTCTTCGCTACAGCATGTAGCAAGTTTTCCTCCCATTTAACATTCAAGTCTCCACCGCTATGTCGGTGAGTAATCCAGGCGCGTAGTATCACCACAGATACCGAAATGGAGTGTCTGATGAAATAATCATCTCTATAAACCATGATGCTTGGAAATTTCACACGTACTATTTGTGTCCTGCTGGTGTGAAGATGTTTCTCATTCTTCCACCTTTTCTTGTACACGGGAATGCTACTTCTGAACTCAGATGAAACCACTGCTTCCAAATTGACAACACAGGGCTGAGAGCATAAATACTCCACCGAGACTTCAGAAACGTTGCGAACATTTCCTTCAAAGACAGTGAAATAAATAAAGTCTTTGTAAGCCACGCTCTGCTCAGCTCTGGGTATCACCGACGTCGTCAGGGAAGTCTGCCTACCCAAAGATGGTACAAAATTCTGAAAAGAAAAAAAAAAAATGGAGAAAGCTTAAAAATGATCATATTAGCAGATAAATGAATCATTATTTTCCTGGAAGAAAAAAATATCCATTTACATAATGCAATGAAAGTGGAAGATAAAAGATGTCGAAAGCACTACCGAATAATTGGAGAAAAACCAACATACACACAAATGAAGATTAGGCCACATTAAACTCTCTCTCCAGACTCAGTAGCATCTGCTCATCAAGATGGGACTTTCAAATCTACGTGGCAAACATTCCAGGGTTGGTTTCCAAATGATGGAGCTAGTTCACGACAAATCCAGGAGCAGTGAACGTGCCTTAAAGTGAAAAAGAGGCAATCCAGCTCCAGACATTTCCAAACTATTTTCCTGACTTCAAGTGGTGGTCAAATGCACCTAAATCAAAGGATGGGAGGAGTTCAAAGTGCACCGGAGAGAACACACATCAGGGATGCCAGCTGGCGCGCTTTTTCACCATAAGTTCTGAGCTAGGACAAGCATGCATGATGAATGGGCCAACAAGAGGTTTCTATTGCTCCAAATCACACACAGGCAGGCTTGGACCACAAACTGTGTTGTCTGATTCTTTCACCGTGGATGGCGCCACAGGTGCCAAGAGAGATTTTAGCTGTAGGTTTATTTATCTAGCTCTTCATTTTTTAATTTTTATTTTATATTGAAGTATAGTTGATTTACAATGTTGTGTTAGTTATCTAGTTGTTTACATGATGAAGCCCTCTCAGTGTGGACTTTCCTTCCAGAAGAAATCTGGAAAGTTTGGTCCTGAAATTAAGGCAATGTTTTGATCATGAGGCACGGATGGATGGATGCTAAGAGCTGTTCTAAATGTGACTTTGAGATTTAGACATCCATAACACAATAGCAAAAAGGTTACTTTGGACCAATTTACACCCATTAGAATGGCTACTATTTTTTTAAAAAAAGAAAACCACAAGTGTTCGAGAGGATGCAGAGAAATTTGGAACCCTTGTGTATCGCTGGTGGGAATGTAAAATGGTGCAGCCACTGTGGAAGGCAGTACTGCAGTTCCTAAAAAATTAAGCACAGAATTGTCATATGACCCAGCAATTCCACTTCTGGGTCTATATCTAAGTTGAAAGCAGGGCTTGGAAGAGATATGTTCATAGACTTAACACCAGGTTCACAGCAGCATTATTCATAATAGTTAAAAGGTGGAGGGCTTCCCTGGTGGCGCAGTGGTCGAGAGTCCGCCTGCTGATGCAGGGGACGCAGGTTCATGCCCCGGTCCGGGAAGATCCCACATGCCGCGGAGCGGCTGGGCCCGTGAGCCATGGCCGCTGAGCCTGCGCGTCCGGAGCCTGTGCTCCGCAACAGGAGAGGCCACAACAGTGAGAGGCCCGGGTACCGCAAAAAAAAAAAAAAAAAAAAAAAAAAAAAAAGGCTAGAGTGGTAAATGTTACGCTATGAATATTTTAACCACAAGTTTAAAGAAAAAGGTCACTGTGGTCTTCTCCAAAGAAAGAAGAAATAGGGACCTCTTTCTTCAATTCTGGCTTAGGGCTGTAGGAGGGGCAAAGGTGAGTAACATGCGAAGTCAGGAATCAGAGAATCATGTTTACAAATAGCAGACACATGGCAGAACATGGCCTGCACTCCAGTCAAACTAAATGCGAGCCCTAAGGGAACACAGCACCAAATGGCAGTAATTCTGACTGGGGGCTCTGGGAAAGGCTTTATGGAGGAAATGGCATTTCAGTTGGGCTTCGATGGATGAAGAGAAGTTCTTTAGGTAGAGAGGCAAAGGGAGGACACTGCAAGTGGTGTGAACAGCTTGAGTAGAGACATGAAAGGAGGGACAGGCGGCTGTCCTGGTGGTCTAGCAAGCAGCCGGGTTTGGCCAGAGGACAGAAGGGTTTGTAAATAAAGACACAAAAGGACATGAGAATATGAGGGTCACAAGCCCTTGGTGATAAGCCAGCCCACCCTGGTTTCCAGACGAGGACATGGCAACCCCGAGGGGATGTTCCCCGACACCCCGCAGCTGCAAGCTTAGCAGAGGCTGGCCTGGAAGCCTGGCTCCTTTTCCTCATGCGCACTCTGACATTCTCCACCCCACAGCACACACCATGAAACCAAAGATTTGCCATTCCATGGCTGCCTGGGAACTCCAGGCTGATTCTGCTTTCATATGAAGAGAGATACAGCCAGCATTTGTCCACAAGCGATGGTTTACTCATTTGGCCAGATGTGCCGAGACGTGGCCGCCTCCTCAAGATTCAAATCGAGCTATTAAGCCCATAGCAGCGTTTAGCCGAAGCCAGAGACTGCTGGTGCTGATGGGAGCCGGACCAGAGTTGTGCCCATGGGTGACCTGCGCTCCTCAGTCCAAAACCCCCAAGGCTTCCCTTTCTCAGCTCCCCGGAAGGAGACATTTGCTTATTTAGTGAGACAATAGGGAACAGAGTCCAGGATATGCTGTGGTATATTAAATATCACATTGTGTCCCTTCTCAAAGAATGACTTAAAACCTCTTCCTCGTTCTTTCCATGTATACCTTAATACCCCACCCAGGCCCCGTTCTCCCATTTCAATTTTTTTTAATCACATTTTTATTGCTGATGCTAGGAACTCCAGTGAAAACCTCTTTTAAACAGAGCTGTCTGGTTTCCTTAAATTTCATTGGAAAGTGCAGTTAATTCATTTACATCTTATTGCTAAAAATGCCCCAGCCCACTTTTCCACGTTAATAAGCACAGCATCATGCTAAATACAGTTTCATTTTTGCTTGGAGACCCACAGATTTCCAGACCCCAGGCTCATCATTGTGGAGATGGGTGGGGACAGATGAGAATGAAGGTATGGGATACCTGACAGTGTATTCTCCCCAGCACCTTCTCTTGAAATTCTGTTTTTAAGGAAATCTCCATATACTCATATGAAGAGCATTTTGTTTTCACTGGCTTCAGAGTCTCAAGTGAAGTAAATTCCAGGTTGACGGGTCCTAGATGTGCGCTATCTGACATGGTGGCCACAAGTCATACTAAGCACTTAAACCTAGATGTGCTGTAAGTGTAAAAGATACAATGGATTTCAAAGACTGAACACAAAAAAAGGACTAAAAAATCTCATTAATAATTTTTATACTGATTACATGTTGAAATGATAAGATTAAGATACAGTGAGTTCAATAAAATGCATTACTAAAATTAATTTTACCCGTTTCTGTTTACTTGTTTAGTGTGGCTACTAGAAAAAGTGAAATTACATATGTGGCTCGAATTTGTGGCTCACATATTTCTATCCAATGGTGCTATTCTAGATCTGAGGTCAGAGACTTTTCCTGTAAAAAAGGGCCATGTGGTAATTATTTTGGGTTTTTCAGCTGCTGGTGTCCATCTAGTGTGGTATCAAGAAAGCAGACATTGACAACACACAAGCCAGTGAGCACGGCTGTGGTCCAGTGCAACCTTGTTTACAGAAAAATGTAGCTGGCCGGATTGGCCCGGGGGCCGTAGTTTGCAGATCACTGTTACAGACTATCAAGCTTTTATTCTAGATAGAGTATTTGTATTATTAGATATTATTTATTTTGCCATTTTTATGAAAATGTGTTCTCGTCATTATTTTGAATTATAGCCATTTGGAAAGATGACGAGATCATATAATAATCAGCTGAATTAGAAGACCACTTAAAGTGCTATAGTTTTAAAGAACACAGAGTGACAAAAGATATACTTTTTAAAGGAATAATCACATAGGAGAAATAAGATGAATAACCCAATCAGGCATCATTTCCTATACATGTGGTTGATGGGGCTTGATTTGCTATTTTGCCAAGGGTCCCTCATGGGTATGACACCTTGCTAATGTTTCTTTCAATAAAGATCTAAGTAGGATGAGAAGTTGGAGCTAGGCTAGGAAAAGAGGTCGAATTTCATGGTCTGACGGGTCTTCCCTGACGGTCCAGTGGTTAAGACTCCGCGCTTCCACTGCAGGGAGCACAGATTCCATCCCTGGTGGGGGAACTAAGATCCCGCAAGCCACTTGGCGCAGCCAAAAAACAACAACAACAACAACAATGAGAATTTCATGGACTGAAAGAGATGTTTAAAGAAGTGAGAGAAACATTAGTGACAGCTGGGGAACAAGAGAAGAGCAACTTCAGGGATAGGGTGATGTTCTTAATATGATGGGGATATGCCAGCCCCAAAGAGGATCTCAGAGTTACTTTATGTGATTTGAGGAGCATGGTCTAAATCCCTCAGGAAGGTTTTGCAATCTTCCTTCTCGTGGGCACCTGTGTAACATAGGAAGCTGGCATCTCGTGGGTTGGAGCAGACCCAGCGGGCAGCTGCTACGCCATGAGTCGTGGCTACCTCTGTTATGTACAAAACCAACACCGATTAGAGACACATCACATTCTAAATATTGATTAAGCTGAAGCTGATTTCCTGGCTCAAGTTATGTGTGTGTTATGAGCTATTTCCTGCCAGGAAAATAAGGCAATTAACTTGAAGGGTTTCAGCTACGGGCATGACACGTGTCCAACCTTCACAGGTATTTTCACATGCCAGGTTGCACGAACATAAGCTAAAAATTACCCAAACGTTCCTTTGTTTAGAAATTATAAAGTCGGAGTCCATGTCTTGTTCTGTTACGTTCCCGGCTTATAAGATAGAGCTCGGCACATTGTAGAGTTTGGCTAAGGGTTTTTTGCTGAAACAAGTACCAGGCGTGGGCATTTCTGCCAGGTGCCTCGGTGGTCCAACTCAGATCAACTGCCCCACAGCGCTGGGGGCACCTGCATATAAACCAAAGCACTCGATCCAATCTTGAGTCCCCACCAAACTTTCCTGACATTCACAAGTTCTTTGGGGCGGGTGGGGGGATGGGGGTTGGCACTCCTCTGTTTTTCATCCAGCCTCATTAATCTCCTTCCAAAGACCATTTCACTGGGCCCCTGGGGGTCAGAGTTGACCCGGGGAACTGTGAGGTCAGAGAAGGTGGCACTC